AAGAATAAACGACCCTTAGCAACATATGTCTGCCCGACCCTTCCAAGGTGATCGCAAATACAGGCACCTGCCAGCCGGGGAGGGACGTGGGCAGTGCAGATGGCCAGCGATGGCGGCCCACGACCCGGCCTTGGGAGCAGCCGCTGGGAGCTGTTTGGTGGGGCTGGTCGGGGACAGGTCACCTTGTGCCCCCAGCGTCCTGAACCAGCCGGATGTCTTTGTGCTGTTTATTCAGGCAGCTCCCAGGGTGTCCTCACCCCCTCGCCACCAGGAACTGGCACTTGCTTCTCATCTCTCCACCAGGCCCTCCTGGCACTGAGGGTCTCTCCTGGTCCCCAAGTTTGGCCTCTTTCTTGCTGTGTGGCAACAGCCAAAGTGCCAGGTCTCTGTGCCTCAGATTCTGAATTTGGGACACAAAGATGCTGATGTCCACTTGAGGGGGCTGTCGTGGGGAGGACGTGCCGGGGGATGGCTGTCAGGGCTCAATCTGAGGTTATTACTGATATTTACCTATCAAGTTCCTCTCTTCAGGCCACAATTTCTCCCTCCATTAAATGGGGGCAGCGTTGTTCAGAAAAGTGTAAGACACAACTCAACGTCAATAGCTTTCTAATTTTTTTGAGCTGCTACCTTGTGCCAGACCCATGGACTTATTTCCTGAACCTTTGGAGGTGGACATTTTTTAAAAAATTCTTTTAGTTGTCAATGGGCCTTTATTTTATTTATTTATTGGTGGTGCTGAGAATCAAACCCAGGGCTAGGCAACATGCTAGGCAAGCACTCTGCCACTGAGCCCCAGCCCTGGAAGTTGACACCATCATTCCCGAGTGTAGAAGATGGAAAGTGCGGCTCAGAGTGGCCAACGAGTTGCTCCAGGAGACCCATGGAAGGGGCCAAGTGGACTCTGGATTTGAAGAATAATAGTAAGAGCACTGTGACCATCAGTGCTAATGTTTGCCAGGAAGCTGCTAAGCCCTGGTAAATACTACCTCATTAAATTCTCGAAGTGATCCCTGGGTGACGGTGGATGCCATCATTCTTGTTCTACAGGTGGAGAGACAAGCGAGGAAGACCGAGTGCCTGGCCCCGAATCATGGAACTAGGACGAGGCCAAGCGGGTCGCTCGCTGCCCCCACAGTTCTGCAAGCGTCAGAGGTCTCTCCCTACCGGGCCCAAGTGCTCCTGCTGCTGGAGAAGGCGGCCCGTGAATCTCCACCAAGTTCCTGAAGAGGGTGTCGCGGGCTGTTTCACTGTTTGTTTTGGAGACAGGATCTTGCTGTGTTGTCCAGTTTGGGGTCAAATCCTGGGGTCAAGAGATTCTCCTGCCTCAGCTTCCCAAGCAGCCAGGACTACAGGCAAGTGCCACCATGCTCCGATGGCCTGGGTTACTTTACCTGGGGACTCCAGGAATGGGTATGAAAATGTGCGAGCATGTGTGTGCTTCTGTCTAGGGGGAGTGTGAGGGAGTTTTGTTGGAATTCAAAAGGTGACAAACAGCCAGGCCGGATGGTGCACACCTGTCATCCCAGTAGCCCAGGAGGCTGAGGCAGGAGGATTGTGAGTTCAGAGCCAGCCTCAGCAACAGCGAGGCCCTAAGCAACTCAGTGAGACCCTGTCTCTAAATAAAATACAAAATAGGGCTGGGGATGGGGCTCAGTGGTCGAGTGCCCTGAGTTCAATCCCTGGTAGTCCCCCATCCAAAAAAAGGTGACACATGAATGACAACTTTGGAAACTCTGATTCTGAGGAGTGGATGGAACACAAGGGACATCCCCTGCATTCCTGGTCCCCAGCCTGCCCATCCCTTGCTCTCCTTGGCCTGAAGTACCATCTTCCGCGAGGGGCTGTCAGAGAAGAAAAGCAACAGATCAAAGCACGGGCAGCAACACTCCCACCGGATGGCGAAGGGGACTCATTTCCTTGGCTGATCAAGACAGGACAGCGAGGGCCCTCTATTGCCAGCGAGATGCTCAGGTCCCCGTCGTGGGGGAGGGATGAGCCACAAATCCTTCCAGGCCCAGATTTATGTAGTGTTCCTGTGGAATTTATTATACAAGGAATTTTATTCAATTAAACTTGAAATGGGTCTGGATCCTTAAAGGTTCAGTAGTGATCGCTGGGACAGAGCGATCATAAAACTGGAGGGGCTGTCGGGAGATGTCGGGAGGAGGCGAGGGTGACATTGCAGCGGACGAGGGATTCGGAGCTGGGGACGTTTGTCATGGGGATGTGTTACAAGTTGGGGCTGTGGAAATCACTCAGTGAAGAGCGCACATTAACAATGGCCATGAAATATCAGTTAAGGGAAACCAGGCTGAGCGATGGGACAGCAGGATCTATTAGCACCTGGCCCTGCTCACTGCAGCCCAGGGCGTGATGAAGGGGACTGTCAAGGGGCGGCCCGCGGGAGCAAGGCGCGGGGCTGGGTGGCTCGACACCAAGGCTGGCTCTCAGAGCCTGTCCCCCACCTGCCAAACAGAGCCCCTAGGTTGCCTCCCTGGGGGGGCAGTGAGGCTCAGGAGACCGCAGGGGTGGGGCACTCGCTGGGGGCTCAGCACGTGGCAGACCCTCTGCCAGGTTGGCTGGCGTCCTTGTCACGGGTTCCTCTCCAGAATGATACCAGGTTCCAGGGAGCTTGGCTGGACGTGGCAGGGTGGGCGAGGCACTTTTTGGGGTGCACGCTATGGGAGCACCAAGACACTTGGTGATCAAGGTGAGTTTTCATGCAATTTATATATACATAAATTTTATATATATATATATATATATTTTTTTTTTTTTTCTGTATTGGGGGTTGAACCTGCAGGCGCTCTATCACTGAGCTGCAGCCCCAGCCCTGATTCTTACTTTGAGACAGGGTCTCGCTAAGTTGCCAAGGCTGGCCTTGAACTTGCCTTTCTCCCTCGGCTTCCCGAGTTGCGGGGACTACATGTGTGCCACCCTTGCTTCCCATCCCTTGCTCTTCCTCCTCCCCACCCTCCTGATTATTTTTGCCAGCAAGGCAGGTGCATTGGGCTCCACCAGGTCCCTCTGTGGATGACGGGGTGCCCCTCTGGAGCCTTGGGCAGAGAGTGAGGTCCAGATTTCAAAATATACAGAAACCCCCGATACCTCTGGTATTGCCGTCTGACTTGACTTTGGGCTGGAGGATGAAGGCAAGCTTGACCACTGAGCCACATCCTCAGTCCTTCTTTATTTAGAGACAGGGTCTCACTAAATTGCCTAGGACCTCACTAAATTGCTGAGGCTGGCTTTGAACTCGAGATCCTCCTGCTCGACCTCCAGAGCCGCTGGGATGACAGACGTGCACCACGATGCCCAGTGGGTACTGCCATTCTAAATAAAACAAGCTGCTGTGTCACAACCCCCTGCTACCCTGTGAGGTGGAGGCCAGCCAAGGTCGCCGATTGTGCGCTAACATGTTGGGAAACCCGGGCTAGATGTCTTGACTATGAACGTTTACTAACTTTTCCCACTTGATTTGAAATCTGGGAGGCTATTTTGATGAGTGTACTCAGTGGGACACATTTTTCCTTCTGCGGGGGCTCCTCTGTGGCTTTGGAAGGCCCTCCCACTTTCAAACAGCCCACTCTCTGGGTCACCCAAGCCAACCTGCTGCTCCCCCTGGGCTGGGGACACAGACTGAACTGCCTGCGTGTCCCTGGCTGGTCTCCCAGGGAAAGGTCTGCTGATGGAAGGGAAGATGGGGCCAGAGGCGGGGCCTGGGAACCTGAGGTAAGATCCCCCTGCGGGTGTCTGGCGAAATCCCTCGTTTCCAGGTCATTATTCCAGAACGTCCTAGGCCCTGGGCACTCCTTGGTCCTTCACCCTGGCCAGCAGCGTGGGTTGTTGCTTCATCAAGTACAGCGTCCCCCTTCCTGGTGGATCTGGCGCTGTGGGCAGCGCTGTGATGGCCGCAGGCTCTCGGACCCCTGCTCCCCATCTGGGCGTGCAGGTGGCACAGCAGTTGGGGGCGCTTCCAGTCTTGTTGGCACAGCCAGCACCCACCTCTGCACAGCCCATGCTAACCAGGGGGTGGGTGGCACTGGACGTGGCCGCCTCCTGGAGAGAGTGTTTCTCGCTCCTGGGCACCTGGACCTCACTCTCTGCCCAAGGCTTCAGAGGGGCACCCCATCAGCCACAGAGGGACCCAGCGGCACCCAATGCACCTGCCTCGCTGGCAAAGTGAGCAGAGGGTGGGGGAGGTGGACGCGTGCCCGCAGCTGGCAGCCATGTTGCCCACTTGCTGGAGTGAGCAGCCGCCCGGGCCTCAGCAGGAGCTCGAGGAAGGACCGGTTGCGGGACCAGCTCACCAGGCACCTCAGCCCGGCTGCTCCTGCCCTTCTGGAAGTCACTTCCTGCGATGAGCAGCGTGACATCCTCAGGTTCTCACGGCTGCCTCTCCCCTTCATACATATCCCTCTTCCCGAGGACACAGCTGGCACTGGCGGTGTCATCTCATAGCAGGAGGGGAGCGGTGACACACGCGATGACACCCGGCCTGGCACGGATCTCAGAGCACAGAGCAGGCCTCGAAGTCTCCCTGGCTGGCCCGGCCTGAAGGTCTCGTTTCCTTAAGCTGAACAGTGCCACTTGCCCTTGGCACGCGGCCCCTGGCAGGAAGGGGCGTCTCTATGTGAAGCGGCATCGCTCCCCCAGGGCCTCCTCCCCACTATGGAGGGTCTCTGAGCTGCACCCCACACTCAGTTCACGGAGGGTGGCGTTTCTGAAGCCACACCTGTCAATTTGCAGCTGTCCTTCCCCCACACGGTGGCAGTGATGGGTGGCTCAGAGGTGAACTAAACTTCCAAATCCAGCCTGCTGTCCCCTTTATAAATGTGACATTTAAAGCCCCGTTGGCACAGGTAAATCATGATTACACTTCCAAGGGCCTCTGGTGCCACTGCAGATCCTTGACAACCGCAGCTGGAGCGGGAGGCTGGCCCGGCAGCGCTCGCTGTCCCCGCTCCCTGTCCCCCTCATACCCGCACACACGTGGCTCAAGCCTCCCCACTTTTATTCTCTTTCCCACGTGGCCCCTCCTCTTTTCGGCTGTCCTTGACCTTTCTGAGACCCAGGACGCCCTGGGGACGCAGGGGCAGAAATCTCAGGGGCCATGGTCCTTCGAGGGAGGTGGCAGGGGCTGCGAGGCAAAGACCTCAAGACGAGCTCCTCAGGAACCAGGACGCTGGAGAGCAAGCTGCCCGTCACCACAGGGACCCACAACCCCCGCGGTGGCGTTTCAAGGAGCCTGGGTCTCCGTCCGATGGGCCGTTCTCCTGTATATCTTCTCCTGGTTCCCCTCCTTCATGGCTGCGTATCTGGCCACCGTGAAGAGGTAGTCGCTGAGTCTGCGGGGACAGAGGAGCAGAGAGGAAGAGAAACGGGGTCAGTGCCGATGGGCCTTCCTCTGCGGCCTACGAGGAGGAGCCATGAAGCCCCGGGAGCACTGTGTGTGGGGACAGCATGTGCCCAGCCCTCTTGGGTCAGACGGGTGGCACTGAGGTCAGCTTCTGTGACAGCCAGGGGCCCAACTTTGGTACCAGGGTGGGGCAGTTCCTGCCAGACCTGCTGTTGACCTGCCCTGACCCCACGGGCGGGAACTCTGGACCACCCTTTGGGTTGGTTCATGCACTTTGAGTAACCAGGACTGCTACTTCCCAAACGAGGGTGCACGGATCACCCGGGGACCGTGTGACATGCAGGTTCCCATTCTGGAGGGGGATTCTGCAGGTGGAGTCCTGGTCAGCTACCACACTTTGAGAAGGGAGGGTTCTTGACCTTGGTAGTAGGACATTCTGGATCATTCCTTGAGGACAGGTGGTCCTAGGCATCGTGGGGTATCAGTAGCCTCAGTCTCTACCACTAGATGCTAGTAGCACCCCAACACCCAGCTGTGACAACTGAAGGTGTCTCCAGAACCATGATGTCCTGGGAAGCACTGGCCTGGAGTGTTCTAGTGACCAGGGCACAGTCACTCTCTCTCCTTCCTTTGCCCGAGCAGTGGTGGCCTCCGGGCAGGGGGCCTTTTGCAGGGAAACTGGTGGAGAGCTTGCAGGATGGGACGCCATGCCTGCCGTGAGGTGCTTCCTCGGGTCCATCTAGGCTGTCCCCGTCAGCCGCTGCCACACCAAGCCCTCCCCCTCCCTGAGGTCAGTGCCACAGAACCTCCCTGACCATGCCCAGCCCCTGGGCCCGCCCCCCCACTCCTGGTGGCCCACTGCTGGCTCTTTGGGGAGAGTAGGGGAGACTGCTCTGGGTATTGCCCCCTCCTATAACTCCTGGAGGCAGTGACGTGCTGTTTCTTGTTGGCTCCGTAGCATCTGCCGGGGGAGGAGCTGCCTGGCCACAGGCCACTGCAGACCTTAGGGGCTCGCGGGGTGGGGGGTCTGCAAAGGTGGGATGGAGCTGCTGGTCGGGGGTCTGCGCCTCCCAGGAGGAAGGAGCTGGTCAGGAGCCAGCCGAGCCAAGGCCACGACCCAGCGAGAGGGGAGTCCACTGTCAGGAGCCACGCCTGCTATGCAGTCACTCACAGCACGGCTGGGACAGCTTCTGGGGTGCGAATCCAGTGGAGCAGGCTTCAGGCTGCTGAGGCAGAGGGAGTCCTCCCTGGGTCACTGGGTCCTGCACCAGGGCTCCCGAGCTTGGCCGGGCCTGCCTCTCTGCTGCCCTGGAGTGTCTCTGGGAAGGGAGACTGGCTGGTCTCCCTGGGAGTCACTGTCAGATGCCTCGTGAGGACTCCCCTGACCACCTGGCCTCCAGGAGCCGCTTGCTTCCAGCCTGTCCCTCTGTGCTTATTGGTTTCTGCTATTTTTTACAGTGGTCTCTTCCAACCAGATCTCAACCTCGCCAAGGACAGGGACAATGTCTGTCTCCTCCACAGCTGCTCCCAACACCTGGCACCGTGCCTGGCATGCAGCAGACACCCACAAACATGAGCAGAGGGGTGGGCGAGTGAGCACGGCCCCTGCAGGGCTCCGCAGACCCGAACCACTGGGGTGCTGTCCCACAAACATGCCTAGAGTCAGAGCAGAGACCCGCCCCCACCCTGTTCAAGTACCTGTTTAAGAACTTGGCCACATTGGCATCCGTCTCTCCCGTCTGGACAAGAGGCACCACGCTGAGAAGAGAAAACACAGTCACGCCATGCTGCAGGACCCAGCACACCCAGGGACCTGGAGCCTCTCCCAAACAGCTCTTCCCAGATGGCCCTGGTCGACTTCAGTCTGTACAAACTCCGCCAGCACCAGAGGTGGAAACTGTCCCCGTCCCTGGTGGGCTTAATAGGTCATTCAATCCCCTTTCCTTGGACACATCAGATAGGGCCTGGCCAAGGAGGGATGGAGCACAGAGCAGAGGTTGGTGGGATAGCTGCCCGGCATCCCAGTGCACTGGTTTTGGGGCAACAGGGCCCAGGTCTGGGCCCCTAACTGGATAGGATGGAGTAGCCACCCCAGCCTTCCAAGGGGAAAGCTAACCCTTAATCCCCAAGGGGCTGCCAGTTCTAAACTACGGCTTAGAGCAACTTCATGGGAAAGAAAAGACCGAAGCCAACCAAGCTCCCGGTTCTCCACGATTCTGAGTTCCCAGGGTCCACACCAGTCTGTGTGGACATTTCAGACAGTGGCCTGCAATCTGCTAAGCACTGAGAAGGTGCAGGGCCCTGCCAGGCCCCTCATACATATTGCTGCTGCTGCAGGACCCTTGCTGGGCGGCACTGTCCCCAGACCCAGTCTCGGGGTTCTTGCCCCCATCTAAGGTCACACAACTGGCTGATTGTCCAGGCAGGAAGTGGGTCCAGCCTGCCCCGGGGGGGCGCCTCCCACTCAGCATGGAGATTCTTTACCAGAAGTGTCCCAGCCACTGTCCCCCCCGCCCCCGATGGTCGGCTGCTCATGGCTACAGCAGTGGCCGCCTGCCTCTGGGACCTGCCATCTGCTCAGCCCTCCCCTCGCTGGGCCTCTAGGCGGTTTCTGACTTCTTGCTGCTATGAGCTCTACTGATGTACGCGACTTCGAACAAATGACATTTTTTGCTTTTTTATTTTTGTTCAATACTTATGAGGATTGAACCCAGGGGTGTCAAATCCCCAACCCTTTATTTATTTAACTTTTATTTTTAATTAATTTCTTCTGTGCTTGGGATTGAACTCAAGGGGACTTCAATGCTGAACTACATCCCCAGCCCTTTTAATTAATTAATTAACTTGGAGACAGGGTCCTCCTAAGTTGTCCAGGCTGGCGTTGAGCTAACCGTTCTCCTGCCTCAGCCTCCCGAGTCCCTGGGATGACAGGTATGTGCCCCTGGGCCTAGCATATTTTTTGCTTTTGAAGCTAAAACTTTCTGTTACCAGGATCCCTTTGCCTGTCTTGGACCAAGAACCTTTCACGAAGGACAAAGCTTTTGTGGTGTGGGGTCATGGAGAGCTCAGGGTTTGGCTGGACAGACCTGGGCTGAACTACACTCTGCACTCTGCAGGGACCACTGGGTGACCCTAGTCATGATGTCACCTCTCTAAGCCCATTTCCTGGCTCCTATAAAGAGGGGCTGCCATGTATTTCAGGGCTCTAATGAGGAACCCATGAGATTATGAGCAGAGCGCCTGGCCCACAGGTGCTTGTACCTGGGGGACCTGTCTTTCTGTTCTCCAGGTGGGTGGCAGCCGGGCGGAGGAGGGGTGTGATTGGGCACTTCGCAAGTCCTTGAAAAGGCTGTTGGTGGCTTTCCATTCTGGGTGAAGGAAAGGCCCCGGCAGCTGGTGGCTGGGCTATGACCACTTCTACGCAGGGCCCCCGCAGCCAGGCAGCCCCCACACCCTCCTTCTCTCTATGAGCTCAAGGAGTCCTTTATGCCACTCTTTCAAGTAGCCGGGACCCACCACTGGCTTCTTCTTGCTCTCAGGAGAAAGCAGGCCCCTCTGGCCCACGGGTAGTGAGCCCTTGGTTTCTCTGCCTGTCTCCCCTCTGCAGGTGGGCTCTGAGGACGGGGCTCGGGGCTGGCCTGCCCTGGCCCGCTGACAAAGTCACCAGGAGCAGAGCTGCCTCTGGACAGGACGCCACACCTGCCTCCTGCCTGCCGTGAAGGCCCCTCTCCGGGGCTCACACTCTCAGCCAGGTGGGGGGGGCCTTACCGTCTCTCAGCTGGGGATCTTACCGTCTCTCAGCTGGGGGGGCTTACCGTCTCTCAGCTCGGCGGCACACAGCCCGACAGAAATGCAGAGCAGAGCTACTCTTGCCTCCCGACTGAAAGGAGAAAGTGGGTGTTGGCTGGGCGATATTTGGCCTGGGGGACTCTACTGGGCACCCCTGGAGACCCACCTCCATCGGGCACAGGGCTGGGGAGGGTTCAGGAAGGACTGGAGGGGCCTGGGGCTGGAGGACAGCTTCTGTCACTATTAAAGGCTACTGAGGGGGATGTGGAAAGGCCCGTCTTTTCTCAGCACCCCTGGTCCGCAGCCCCCCAACACCTACTGGCAGGATGAAGGCCGTGAGCGGGGGCAGCTGGCGGGAGTACTTGTCAATCCACTGCTCCAGCTCCAGGGTGGGCCCTGCCTCGAAGGCTGTGTGTCCTAAGGGTCGCGGAGCAGGAGGAACAGCCGTGAGGCCCAGCCCTCGAAGCAACACCCCAAGTCCCTTCCGCCTGCCTGGTCTCAGACTGTAGCCACCCTCAGGGCCAAACTCCCTCCGGGGGCCACGGGGCTTCATGGCCGACTGGCGTGGCCCTGGGCTCCCAAGAGACCCCCGCCCGCCGGGCAGGTGGGAGAGTTACTTAAGTGAGCCTCCCTGGCCGAGGAGCGTGGGGTGGCCAGGGCGGAGCCGACGTCCTGCAGCACGCACTGGATCTGGGGAGAAGAGGAGAGGGAAGACGTACTCGTGAGGCTGGCCAGAAGTGACAGAGCCACACGCAGGGGTGCCACCTGGCCACAGAGTGTGGGACTGTCGGGCTCTCAATGAGGTGACACTTAAGGGCAAACCGTCAGAACCTGCATGTGGCCCCGTAGTGGGCTGCTACCCCTGTGGAGGGGACCTGTGAGGCTGTTTCAGAGTCTGTGGGAGGACAAGGCCCAGTGTCCAGCAGTGAGCAGGGAGCACCCCCGTGGAGATCAAGAGGAACCTTCTGGCTCTGTCCTTGGCTCCCGTGCACCTGTGCCCTGTGCTGCTCCTCTCTGAGCTGACCGCTCTGGTTTCCTGACTGGTTGGGCCGAGACGCCAACAGGACACTACAGCCCAATGTGTACAGGATGCTGCAGAGACAGTCAGCTAGGCCCGCGGGGCCTCTGGAGCAGGAGGCCTATCTGCTCCCTGGAGCCCATGCCTGGGCTGCCTACCCTCAGGGGACATGTAGATGGAAACCTTGGAGCTGCTGTCCCCATCTCTGTGTTTGACACTCACTCCAGGAGTCAGAGACCCCAACTCTCCTCTTCAAGGGACTGGGGATTAAACTCAGGGGTTCTCTATTACTGAGTTGGACCCCAACCCTGTCCCACTACCAATTTATTTTGAGATAGGGTCTCACTAAGTTGCTCAGGCTGGCCTCAAATTTGTGATCCTCCTACCTTAGCCTCCAGGCTATCTGGGTCACAGTCATGTGCCACCCCATGCGACCCGCTCCTTCTCAAGGAACGTTCAGAAATGGTAGTGAGCAGGCCCAGCTGGGCTCACTGCTGCAGGGTGTCCCCGAGCTGTGGCACTTCATCCCGGGTTTCTCAGCCTGGGGGTTACTGCCTTTTGGGACTGGGTCACCCTTTGTGGAGGGGACAGATGGGTGCACCGTAGGATACTCAGCTGCACTCCTGGTCTGTCCCAACAGATGCCAGCAGCGGCCCCACCCCAGATGTGGCATCACAAATGCCTCTGAGCATTGCCAAATGCCCCCCGGGGCAGAGCTGCAGCTGGAGAGGCTGCTGCCCTTTGTCCTCTGTCCTGCCTGAGGAGGAGGGTCATCTCCACATGTCCCCTTTTCACAGATGGGGAAACCGAGGCATGCAGACAGGAGTGACCGGCCCCAGAGGCATGAAAGGGGAGCAGGAGCAGAGGAGGAAGTCAGTCATGGCCACCGGCTGCCCCGACCTGGGGCGAGAGGACGGCACTTACTTTCTGAAGCTCTTCGGCAAACGTGTGGCCCTTTTCTTCAATTAATTCCATAGCAAACCTGTGAGGAAACGAACAGAAAGGATGTGGCTCTAGGGCAGGGCTGCGCCACCGCTCCCCAGGTGGAGGCCATCCACTGGTTCAGCCGCAGCCCAGGGCCCTGTCTCCTGCTGACACCAGGAGCGTCCTTGCCTCTTCTCACACTCATTTTCCCAGTGATTCCCTTTTGAGCACCTGCCCTGGCAGAGTCCTGGGGACTTGGTGAGGAACAGAAGGTGACACAGGCCTATCCAGCAGTGGGGGGACTTTAGTTGGGGACCATTCTACCAAATGGGAAGCTGCAGGCCGAGGTCAGTGCGGAGGGAGATGAGGGAGGCTCAGCTGGCCTCAGCCAGGGCACAGGAGGGCTTCCAGGGCAGCTGGAGGGGGGCTCTGGGGGCTGAGGGAGGTGGGATGGGGGGGGACTGCCTAGTTGCTGGTCAAGATGCTGCCCCTGGCCTCCTCTGCACCCCGCTCTCTCTTGTACCCCTCAGCGTCCTGGAGGGGACCGGGATGCACTGGGAGGAGGAGAGGCGGGAAGGCAGGGGGCTCAGAGGTGTGAGCAGTTCCGGGAACTGGTGATCATGCCAGAGATAGCAGGAGGGGGAGCCTGAAGGGGCAGGGACGGAGAGGGGCCCCCACCCCGCAGAGTGCTGGATTCCAGGCAGCGAGTGAGGCAGGCGCCCAGGGCCACCAGGCGCCACCCAGCTAGAGCGCAGGCTCCTGCGTGCCCTCAGACCCCTGCACCCCTCTCCAGCCTCCTGCTGCCGCCTCCCATGGGCTGGACTCCAGAAATCCAGGAAACCAGGGAGCTGGTCACCAGTCAAAAGGCCCGCTGCCCAGGTACAGAAAGGAAAGAGGAGGTGGACAATGATACAAAAGGAGAACAAAAATGACCCGAGCGCCTGCCCAGCCATTGCCAATCAGCATGAAATGAGCACAGAATTCAGCCAGGCACTGCCAGTGCGAGGAGATGGCTGCCAGCAGGGCTCCTCCGGTGCTGGTCCCCTGCCACGTCCCACCGCAGGCAGCGCCCCCTTGGCGTCTGTGGCCTCCTGGGGGCAGGGCTAAGGCTGTCTGCAGTGTCTGACACACGGAGGTGCCCGGTCAATATCTGACAAAGGACTCCAGACTTTGTCAGGGTTCTAGACTGACCTCTTGCCCCACATCGGTTGGAAGATGCTGCTCACTGATTGGCTAATTTTTTTTTTTTAACATACCAGGGATTGAACCCAGGGCCCTCGACCACTGAGCCACACCCCTAGCCCTATTTTGCATTTTAATTAGAGACAGGGTCTCACTGAGTTGCTTAGGGCCTTTCTAAGTTGCTGATGCTGGCTTTGAACTCACAGTCCTCCTGCCTCAGCCTCCAGAGTCTCTGGGATGACAGGCATGGGCCACTGCACCCAGGTCATTTGCTAATTCTGAATGGCCAATGTTAGCACCCATCCTGCCTCCACTGTGCCCACTTCACCCTGTCTCCCCAGCCCCACAGACAGAGTTTTGCCTTCTCTGCCTTGCTGGAAGACTATCACCCCTGACGTTATCTGCCTTGAAAAATCTCACCTCGTCTGCACATCGCTGAGAAATGGTAGCCGTGAACACATAAGTTATCATGATAATGATAATAGCTAAGCAGGGCACTGTCCTAGGGAGGAAACATGGAATTATCTCACTTAATCGCATAAGTACACGGTGAGATGGGTACGATCACTACAACCATTTGACAGAGCAGTAACTGAAGCTCAGAGAGGCCAGGGGTCTGACTGAAGTCACACAGCTACCTGGCAGTGGTACTAAATTTGAACCCAGGTCTGCCTGGTTCCCGTGCCCCTATCACCACAGAGCCATGTCAGATCTGGAAACCAGCACTCGAGATATTGTGCTCACACTGTTCACAGCCTTGAGCGTGGGGGGCTGTGCTATGATTCTCAGCAGGTGCTGCCCCTCCCACCCCACCCATGCCAGGCATATCCACAGGAATGGCTCTGGGACATCTAAGACTCAGTGTGAGCTTCACCAGGACTCCTCTTCCCTCTGCCCTCATGACTGGTAGGGTCTCAGACAAATGCTGTCCTGCCCTCCTGGGTCCCCTAGTCAAGGCCACATGGAGCAGAGACATGGGCTTGAGGTACGAGCCGGAAATATAACTTTGGTTTCTAAGCTCTGAGGTTTGGGGGACAGTGTGGCCTGGCGGATCCCAACTAATTCTTCACGTCAACCTTCTAAACACTGGCTGTTTCACAATTATCACTCACGAACGGGATGGCACTTGGCACACCGCCCTTCAGACTAACTTGTCTCTGTCTCTTCAGAGACACAGCTCAGTGGTGCAGTGCTCACCTGAGCAGTGAGGGATCCAGGCAGGGATGGAGGGAAAGGCAGCTGCACACGGTGACCAGCGAGACAAGCAGGCGCAAGCAGGGCCAGGAAGGAGGGTGTCTGCAGCCCAGCACCTGGAGGGGCTGACCAGCCTACGCGCCCAGCTCAGGCAGGCTCAAGTGCAGACACTTCCACGGTCGTGGCCTTCACTCTCCCCCATTCAGACCCGACCTCAGGGCCAGTCCCACCTCCCTTACCCAATGGCTGAACTTAATTCATCTGTAGTTCCCACGGCTTCAAAGACCTGGTCATCTTTGGGTCTCCTTTCTCCTGTGAAGGTGCTAGAAAACCCTGTGGAAAAAACATACAGCCGCCCAAATTAAGGGTCCCCCCCACTTGCTGTGTTCTGTTTGTGTGTTTGTTGCAGTGGTGGGGATCAAACCCAGGGTCTGTGCACACTAGACAATGCTCTACCACTGAACCTCACCGCCAGCCCGAAGGTGTTCAAAATGAAGTTCAAGAGACACAGAAAAACGCTGACCCAGCATTTGAACGCTGGGTTCAATTCTCAGCTCCGCATATAAATAAATGAATAAAAAACACACAAAAAAAGAAAAATAAATAAATGAATAAAATAAAGGTTCATCAATGTCTAAAAAAATTTTTTGAAAAAAAGAAAGAAAAACGCTGACCCAGATGTGATGGTACATGCATCCCAGAAATCTTCTGAAATCCCAGGAGGCTGAGGTAGGAGGATAGCAGGTTCAAGGCCAAGCTCAGCAACTTAGTGAGGCCCTAAGCAACTTAGCAAGACCCTGACCCAAAATAAAAAAATAAAATAAAAAGGGCTGGAATACAGTTCAGTGATAAAGCACCCCAGGTTCAATCCCCGGTACCTAAATAAACAAACAAAAAAATAAAGAAGAAAGAAAAGAACTGAAACCCGAAGTGCACAAGTTCATGAATTGCATCCAGTCCAAGGACAAAACTTGACTAGTGCCCTAGAAGAGCCCTGCCACCACTTTCAGCCATCACTCCCAGGGTGACGGCAAGCCTCACTTCTTCCCTGGTATGCTTCTAAACTTTAAAAGCATGTACTAAGCAGCCTGTTAAGACGAAAACCATTTCAGACATATTACATGTCCATCATCACTGTATCTCACAGGAAATCAAAGTCCCCCGCACCTCTTCCTGGGCCACGGTCCCTGCCTGGGCCATGGTTCTCTGCGTGGGTCATGGTCCCTGCCTGGCAACACTGGCCTGGCACTCATAGGTAGGTTGGCTGCTCTGCTGAACACAAATGAATTCACAGAATGCTATCGGATGGTCCACCATGACTGTGACAGATCAGGACCAAAACGAAAGAGGCGACAGCTGAGCAATTCCACAATGTAAATACCAAACACCCGCTTTCCTGGTAAGGTGAGTGATGGCTGCATCCATATCCCCTCTTCCTCTCTCCTACCTTCTAGGGAAAATTAAAATACCCAATGACATAATCAGCCCTGCTTTCCAACAGCGTCCCATCCAGAGCAGAGCCCCACTTCCCGGAACCCTCCCGCACGCCACCTATCACAAGCCCAGCCCTATGAGTCCTTTCCACACCCTCCTTAAAAAATATATTTATATGTAAATAGGTATGTACATATATACACATATATGTTGAGCTGTAGATGGACAATACTTTTATTTTATTAATTTAGTGTTTTAACATGGTGCTGAGGATCGAACCCAGTGCCTCCCGGTGCCAGGCAAGTGCTCTGCCTCTGAGCCCCAGCCCCGCCCCTCCACCATTCTTTTATGGAGTGTCTCAGAGTCCCATGCTGGGCCACCTCCTTCCTGCTAAGGAGCCAACTGCCCCTGTATCTCACTGCTGGTGGTCCCTGGAGGTCCTTGGCTGGCAGTCATTGACACTACCACCTGACCCTTGTCATCCCTGGGTACGTTTCTTTTTGTTTTGGTGGTGGTAATACATGCTTAACGTGAACTTCACCATTTTGGTCTTTCTTTTAGTCTATAGTTCAATGGCGTTAAGTATATCCTAGGTGTATGTATATACTTTTAAGTATAGATTAAAAAAAATGTGATCTGCATGGTTTTAAACTTCAGGAAATGGTATCATTCTGATAGACATATTTTTTCCAAACCTAGGTAGATCTACCACTGAGCTGTCTGCCTCTCCCCAACCCCAAACATGTTTTCATCACTTGACATACCTTGGGGGTTTTCATTTCACATCACATTTTTGTGATATGATTCAGATCTATCACATAATTTTTTTTTAAACTGGGAATTAAACCCAGGGACACTTAACTACTGAGCCACAACCCCAGTCCTTTTTGTGATTTTATTTAGAGACAGGGTCTCGCTGAGTTGCTTAGGGCCTCGATAAGTTGCTGAGGCTGACTTTGAACTCATGATCCTCTTGCCTCAGCCTCCTGAGCTGCTGAGATTATAGGCATGGGTCACAGCACCCAGCCCGTCACATACTTTTTAATGGCTACAAAGAGGTTAGAAGAACTTTGAAAAGAGGTCAGCTGTATGTCTTTTGTTGCATTTTTCACTGGTCTTCACCCTACCTTTGTCTCCTGTCTTGGTGTAAATCTTGGGGGTCTTGGGGCTCTTCGATGGAGGCTGTAGCCTAATGAGAAACAGACACCAAGAGGTCATGAGTGAGAGATCTTACACAGAGGGGCACCTCTGTGGGTCCCAGCTTTCTGCCTGCAACCTCAGTAGTAGCCCTTACCCCCACCCCACCTTTTGGGTGGCAATATCTTGTTGACCTCTGTCCCCCCCTATTCTTTCTACTTCAAGTCCTTTGTGAACCAGCTCTGTACCTTGCCCACAGGTGTCTGGAGATGATGTAACATTGCTCAATGGAGATGTTCAATGAATATCTGCTGAAAGAACTGATTGACTAATCCCCCCATAGCTCCTGTACCACAGTTTTTGGGCATTCTCTCCTGGATTTATCCTGAAATCCTCCAGTAACCCCAAAGGTAGACACGACCTGTTACCTTCATTTTACTATTGAGGAAACTGTAGCTCACAGTGAGACTCATTTTCCTAAGGAGGAAGAGGCAGAGCTTGGGATTCACCTCCAAGACTGTCCTACTCCAGGGCCTAAACTGTTACCTCTACCCTCCCCAAACTCTTACTTTCTACCACTAAGTAAGGGCCTCCTGGAGGGAAAGAAAACTGGGCCACTTCCATTCCACAAGGCTTCAGGTACATTCAGAAATGAAGTACTACCAAAACAGGATTTGAAAATATGCATTTTCACTTTTTTTTTTTAAGAACAACAGCCTTTTATTTTTATTTTAAGTATTTATTTTTTAGTTTTAGGTGGACACAATATCTTTATTTTATATTTATGTGGTGCTGAGGATCGAACCTAGTGCCTCATGCATGCTAGGCAAGCGCTCTACCACCGAGCCACAACCCCAACCTCTTCAGTCTTTTTTAATTATTGGCAGTGCTGGAGACTAAACCCAGGTCCTCATGCATACTAGGCAAATGTTCTACTACTGATCTACATCCCTAGGATTCCCCCAGACTAACATTTTCAAATAGCAACATAAAACTTAGATAGCTTGGGGTTGGGGCTGGGGCTTAGCAGTAGCGCACTTGCCTGGCATGTGTGAAGTACTGAGTTCGTTTCTCAGCACCGCGTATAAATAAATAAAATAAAGAAAGGTCTATCAACAACTAAAAAAATAAAAAATAAAATTTAAAAATAAAATTTACATAGCTCAAAATTAAAATGTGACATTATATGGTTATTCAAAAGTTATATTACTGAACCTATAAAATATATTAACCCATTATTAATTCGTGGTATTTTACAGGTTCTGAGGCTGGGGTGGTCTTGGGGAGTGGTGCAAATTTCAGAGCACATGAAGAGTGCCATCTCGAGATAATGTCAGTGTGTCTGTACAAACTGCTTTGGAGACAGGTCAAAATCCGACTGTGGGTCCTCCTGGCCCACAAGGGACATGGCCTGCCCTGACTGATGACAGCTGGGCTGCATTAAAATCTGGCAAAGAAATCCTGGCTTCCACGTTGCTCACGGTGACGTCAGTACACTGGGGACGTCATGTTGACGTACCCAAGGTGACGACATCACGATGCACTCTGCAGGTGTTCGAGTTACCCACCCAGCCCGACACTCACCTGTCCCCGTCTTCCACGCCCTGAGGGCCGCGACTCTGAAAACGGGGACATAGCAGCTTGCTAGCGCCGAGGCACCCGCGAAGGCCAAAGCGGCCTCCCCGGACCCACACAGCCATGCCCTGGGCCGCTAGTCAGGAGCTGACCCAGCCAGGCCACCGTCCAGGCCCGGGGGATGACTCCACCCACAGCCGCCGCGCCACCGCTCAGATGCCGTTTCCCATTGGTTCGCGGCTCTCGGACCAGGGCGGGACCCTCCTAAAGGACTTGTTTTCCATTGGTTCGCCTAAGGAGAGGGGCGGGAAAACCCTTGACGGCTTGGTTGCGATCCCTATTGGCCAATGCAAGCCAATTCGTGAAGGGGTTCCCGGCTTGCCTGCTCTGATTGGCTGGACGGAAAATAGAGGCCGCCTCCCGCGGGGCACTAGTTCTTGGGGATGGAGGAGACCCGGAGCAGTAGATCAGGCTCCGGAGCGAAGGGGCGGCGGCGGCAGCAGGTGAGACGCAGGGGTCTCACGACCGGGTGGCGCGAGATCCGAGGCCAAAGACGGCCCCTTCGTTGGCTCAGTTTCCCCAACTCCGAGAGTCCGTCCTGAGGTGTGGGCAGCCTCAAATCTGGCTGTCCCCCTCCCTAAGAGCAGGGATTGCCGGGTTCCTGGCTCCCAGTGCGACTGAGGTCTTCGGGGAATAAACAAGGCGGTTCTCGGAAAGCCTTAAGCGAAGGGTAATTTTGCATTATTTGTAAAAGTGTAAAATGCTGCACACCCGGAGACGCAGCAAGGCACTGGCTGCACTTGTTGCAGAAATCTCCGCTGAAGTGTGCAAAACGGGGCAGGACGGGTGTTTCCTGCAACCATGTTTATAATTGTGACACCTTGGAAACAGCCTCAATGTCCAGGGAAGAGTTCTTTTTCGTCCACGATTTCATAGGAATCAATCTCCTCCTCTCTCTCCCTTTTTCCCTCTTCCTTCTTCAATCCTTCCCTTCCCCATCTCCCTCTTCTGCCTGACTCCCTCTTTCTTGTTGGGAATCAAACATAGGGCCTTGCTCACTGCTCATGCTAGGAAGGTGTTCTACCACTGACCTACCCTCCCAACCCTCATGTGAATTTCTGCCTTCAATAGTAATCGTAATAAAAGAACAAACTAGTAATAATTAGCTCTCAGTAATCAAGTGATAACAGTATGCCAGACAATTCTATTTTCTTTAGATTAACTTAACTTTCCCAATGATGTGTTGAGGTAGGTTACATTATTGTCTCTATATAAAGTTCGTAGCCGTTTAAGTGAGTTAGCAAAGATGATATATCACTGGGGAGTAGAAGAGATTGCATTTGAACTCTTGTCTTTCTCATTTGTCCAGTTGACCGTATTACTGCACTACTTTCAGGTATGTAGCAAGTATTCTTTATGCTGTTGTGGTTGTTACAGAGATGTGCTTAATATGGGCTTCCTCTGAGATCTCTTCCTGCTGTCCTGACATCTAGGCACCTTTGTTCCTCTCTCTGGCTTTCCCTTTCAGGATTCCCAAGAGCCATGTTGTCCGAAGTCCTACTGGTATCTTCTCCAGGGAAAGTCATCCTTCATGGAGAACATGCTGTGGTCCATGGCAAGGTAAAAATCCCCCAGAGCTTTCAAGGATTGGATCTCACTTCTCCTTGACACTGATCTGGCAAGAAGGTGAAGCAAGGCTCTGAGGCTTAGCTTGGGAGCAGATCAGAGAGGAGGCTCATTTCTCCCCAGCCAGATGAGGCAAAGACAGATCTTATGCCCACTGAAGAGCTTCCCTGGCCTCACTCAGTAAGACAGCAAAAGATGATATATGTAGAGCCCTGCATGTGGAATGAAATTACTTCGGAAATGAGCTGATGGACAGGAGAAGATGTTTGAGGACTGAGCACAGGGGCGCTCCCATGTTTAGGAGTTGGAAAGATGATCCAGCAAACAAGTCAGAAACATGCATCAGCTCATTGAACCTTTGCACCTATCTCTGGAGGGACATTCCTTTGTTTCCTATTTACAGATGGGGAAGCTCAGGCTTAGAAAATCAATACCCTGACCAAGCTCCCCACACCCTGGTGAATGTTGTAGTGAATCAGCTCTGTCTGAACCCAAAGCTCATGCTCATCCACTCGTTCATTCCAAGGGCCATTCTTTATGTTCTTATTTATATTTCTCTTCAAGAATGTCGAGATCATGGGGAAGCAAAATTCCTTGGTGTTGAGAACCTCTGAAGCTTTCCATGGAAAAGGCAGATATAAGTGGAAATAAACTCCTAATTCAGTGGTAGTGGCTGTGCCCAGGGTCAGTGGGACAGCAGGGCAAAGCTGATCCCCAGGTCTGCCAGGGCATAGGTGGAAGTGGCCTGTGTGCTGGTATTTGCCCTCACTTCCCAGTATATTGACTCTGGTCCCCTCCCCGCCCACCCTCAGGCTAACTACTCTTGCCCTTTACTATACAGGTAGCACTGGCAGTGGCCTTGAACTTGAGAACATTCCTCCGGCTTCAACCCCAAAGCAATGGGAAAGTAAGCCTCAACTTACCAAACATCGGGGTCGCACAGGCCTGGGATGTGGCCAGGCTTCAGCTGTTGGACACAAGCTTCATGGGTAAGTGCAAGCCCCAGATGTGAAAGAGCCTGGGCCCTGGAGAGGGGGAGAGAAGGCCCCTAGGTGGGTTCCGGCTGTTCCAGAGGGAGCCAGAAGCAAGCCATTCCAGGGGTATTTTCTATTCTGACCCCGTACAATTAGCTTCACTTATTCAGTATGTTGTCTTAATTTAAAAGTGTAAAACTATGCACCAGATATCTGTGGGTTATCGTGGGTATGTTATCAAGGCCTACTGTTCAGTAAAAAAACACAGGATGTAAAATAGCATCCATGCACACTTATGGGAGAATCAGTGTCCGAATGCATAGAAACACATTGACCATGGTGGTGCACTCCAACTACTCAGAAGACTAAGGCAGAAGTGCTACAGGTTCAAGGCCAGCCTGGGCAACTTAGGGAGGCCCTGCCTCAAAATAAAGTAAAAAGAGGGCTGCGGGTGTAACTCAGTGTAGAGCTTGCCTAGTATATGGAAGGCCCTGGGCTCAATCCCCAGTACTGCAGGGAAAGAAAAAGGGATAGAAAAATGTGTGAGGTAATAGACATCAAGCTGACCCCTGGGAGGATCCTAGGGGTTGGGAGTAGACAGAGAGAGCCTTCTATAATGTGGCTTTCAACAAGGAAGATGAATGTGTGGGCATTTTATGTGTCAATTTTTTTTTTCTTTTTTTGGTATGAGGGATTGAACCCATAGGTGCTTAATCACTGAGCCACATCCCCAGCCCATTTTTATTTTTTATTTTGAGATAGGGTCTTGCTAAGTTGCTGAGGCTGGCTTTGAACTTGCAGTCCTCCTGCCTCAGCCTCCCAAGTGGCTGGGATTACAGGAGTGGATTGCACCACCATGGCTGGCAGTTTAAAATTCTTAAAAATAGGACTGAGTGTAGCTCAGTGGCGCACCGTGTGTTTAGCATGCATGAGGCCGCGAGCTCAAACCACAGTGCAAAAAGAAGAACAAAGTATTAACAATGAGAGTAACTTGTGTTTATTCCTAATAGTGACCCCAGCTCTGTCTGAACCCAAAGCTCATGCTCCTAATTAACAAAATGACAGATGACAAAAAAATTCACCCATTATTGCTTTTCTCTTTCCCAGTAACCACTCTAATCAATTTGGTATTAATCCTTCTGAGTTATTTTTTGTTGATATTGAAATATTTAGATTGATGGAGAGAGAGAGAGAGAGAGAGACCTTGTTTTTTACCAAAATTGGGTGAGTCTGGCCTGGGGTTGTGGCTCTGTGGTAAAGTGCTTGCTTAGCATGTGTGAGGCACTGGGTTGGATCCTCAGCACCACATATAAATAAATAAAAGGTCCATCGACAACTAAAAAAAAGTATTTAAAAAAAAATGGGTCAGTCCATTATCCACTTTTCTGGAATGTGTGGGTTTTCCCTTCAGTGTAGCAGGATCATCTTTCCATGCCAGTAAGCAAGAGTGTTGCTCTTGACGATGTGAGAAGGCTGTGTCCACCCACAAGCTAGCGGGTAGTGGCTTGTTTTCCTTGGTCAGGGGAGCTGCCACCTGCCCAGAGCTGGAGCTAGTCTCTCTTCTCCCTCCGCATCTCCCTTTGGGCCGATGTCTCATTGTTGGCCGCAATGCTCCTCAGCAAGCCTTGGGCAAACGAGAATCCCCAGGGCTTTCTCCCAGACTGTACTTGAACCCTGAGGAGTCACAACTGCTCCCATAGGAGAGGGGATAGAGTTGGGAGTCTTCAGGCTGTGAGTAGCTCAGTGGGAGGGCTCTGGGTTCAGTCAGCACCACCAAAAATTAAAAAAATAGAAATAAAAAATCTTACAGCAGCCATTTTAAACTGTCATGCCTTGGAATCACGGGAGGACATGCTTACTATGATTTTTACCAGTACAGATGGCTTCCTGGCCCTGTGCGTCTCCTTTTGAGAGTTGTTCGTGGTGGTACGGGCTGCGTGTATATTTTGAAAGGGGTTCCCTGAGTGATACCAGGGACACCCTCAGTTAAGTGCCACTGCCTTGGAGCTTGCCTCAGAAGATGGCACCTGGGACTTGCCTTCTCTGGAGCCCAGGGCCACCCAGCCAGGACAGACATATTCCCTGAGAACCCGATGCTGCTTTGGTAAATCAGTAGCATGAGGTGGCAGCAGCCTGGAGTGGTACCTCTCGGACTTCCTAGGTGAGCCTGGCAGGTCACTTCACCTCCCAGGCCCCCGCAAACAGGGTTGAGGTGACTGTGAACTCCAGCGGGGCTGGAGGCCGTGCTGCTGAGCTCCGTGGGTAGGTCAGGGCTGTCCATTGACTTCAGAAGGAAACACAGGAGTCTGAGCCCTTCGGATTCATGTCTAAGAGGTTGCAAGCCTCTGCCACCTTGGGAAGTCCTGGAAGTCTCCAGCTCTCCTGGAAGTGGGTGGTGTTATTCATGCCCATTATATGGACGTGAGGATTGGAGTATGGAGGTCCCATGGCCTGAGCTACCCCACGTGTCAGCGCTATAGAGAGGACTCAGATCCAGTCTCCCTGAATTCTAAGCCTGTCGCAGCTCTGTGCAGAAGTCTGCAGTGTCTAGGTCTCTGTCACACCTGTGCCAGGACTTAATAGGTGCCCGAAGTTTC